CACACACACTCTCGCATACGTAAGAATACGTGATCACCACTGTCCTCATCCTCAACGTTTCCGTGAAATTTCTTTTCTTCTTTTTTGAGTATTATAAAACGTTCCCGTAAGATTTACCAAAACCAGGCCTCCGTAACACAGCTGCTTGCCACGTGTTCCTACGTGTAGTCGTCTTGTTGCTAGTATGATGCCACGTCAGGATGGTATGGGAATACAACCGTCGTCCGTTACACACTCAGCAATGATGAGCACCAACAAACGACGACCACCAACTCGCAGCAGCGAACGGCTGAATTTACCCTTCCTTCCTTTAAAAAAAAAAAAAAAAATTGCGTCATCCTCATACTGGTTCGGTCACCGTCGTGCACCGTTCATCATCTCACGCAACCTACACTTCCTAAGATCGCTCGCGCGCACACGTAATTATACAAGCCCCACGCCACCTGACCTTCATACATACAACCAGCCTACGCGACAGTAGAGGTCACTCAGATCTGTCACACAGCTGACGAACAATAGAGGTCGCACAGCGTACTGTCATGCAGTCTGAAATTGAAATTGTGTGACTACATCTACCTCTAGACCCTAGGACACAACCACCTCGTCTATTCCCCTCCACTGCAGGCCAAGCACACCATGCCCAGCCAGCTGGCACGGAAGTTCCGTGACAGGACTGCCGCCTCATCATCAAGAGTACTCAACTAGCTAACTACCAAGATAACGGTGAGAGAGAGAGAGAGAGAGAGAGAGAGAGAGAGAGAGAGAGAGAGAGAGAGAGAGAGAGAGAGAGAGAGAGAGAGAGAGAGAGAGAGAGCTAGGTGGAAGGCGTCCCCGCCGCGGTAGGGGGGGAGGCGGTGGTTGTGTCGCGATGATGGCTTGCGCCCGCTGCGCGCATAGACTCCCTGGACATCTCGACAATGATGTCCTTAACATCTCGTCGCGATTCCGCGGGCCTAGAGAACGGGATCCGCACCTGGACCCTGCGGAGTCCGCCTGCATCCACTTCCGCCTCGAACCCCAGACGATCCATTGCTACCATCCGCGCCGCATCTACCGGGATCCCGAGCGCAAGCTCCGCCATCGCCCTCGTCGCTTCCGCGTGATCCCGATTCATGTGCGAGATGATAGGTGTCTCGACCAACGCGATTGCGTCGGGGGACGCCGCCTCATACTCCTCTCGAGAGAACTCTCTAACACTGGCGCCTTGTGCCACGTTGCCAACGTTCGCCGTGTAGCGGAGTCGGATGGGAGTGATCCGAACGAAATGGAAATCTCCGAAATCCACCCACATCGCGTCGGGATGCTTGCGCAGATACGCCTCCCTCACGGCTGCGCGATCCGCCTCGTCCACCACCTCGGCGGCGTCTCCCATCAGCGTACACGTGGGCGCCGGCAATTGGTTCAAATCGGTCGAGACCATGATGGCACACTGGGGGTGTTCCGTCAAATCGCGGGTGTGAGGAGAGAGGGAAGACACTGCCAAAAGAGGAAAACCGTTGTCGTCCACCGCAAACTTCACCTTGGATCCGAAAGGGTAATCACTAAACCGGACCGATTTGGTGACAAGCACAGCCGAGCCCGCCTTTGCAATCAACGACCGCGCTTGCTCGACAGGTGGCAGTCTTGCCACGTCACCCTGTCTCTCATACACCTCCTGCCAATCAACCTCTTCGACTTCCGTTGAGGATTCGGACCTCTCCGCTGCTGCTACCGAAGCTGCAGCTTCGGCAGAAGCACTCTGATCTCCACCGTCGGATTGTGAAACTGACGATCCAACGGCGGCGGCGGCGGCGGCGCCGTCGTTCTGTGACGCAGACGCCATAGCCAGACTTCGGTTCTGAAGGCCCGCCGTACCCGGCTGCATCCCTTTGGCAAACTGGCGGCGTTCAGTAAGCACGTTCCCAGACCACCAGCTCAGCACCCTCAAGGACGGAGAAGAAGAAGAAGAAGAAGAAGAGGAAAAAGAAGAAGAAGAGGAGCATCTTATGCTATCGATCCTCGCTCTCCCATCATAACCCATTTCGCACTGTCTCCATGTCTGCAGATCGAGTGCCGCGTGGCGTTCATAGAGGGCGTGGTTCACCGAGCCCAGCCTGTGCGCGCTTCCGATGCGCGCTGACGTGTCTACTGCGCGCCAATGCCGCCGGCCCACGGCGCTGCAGGCTGGCAACGCTCTACGTAGTCCGGTCACTGTCACAGCCTTGCTGGCCTGCATCTGGTCGTAGGAACAGGAAAGAGGAGGACGAGAAGGTCGAGGTGAAATGTCGAAACGTGTCGCCGCGCCGTCGATCGCACACGTGGAGATCGATGGGCCCCACGATTGACCAGACGCGAGCTCACCTGCTACCTTAGAGCCGCTGCTACTACCGGGAGTTGGCGCCACGGTCATCAAGATGGCCGCTGGCGCGCGTTGCATGATGGCCATCCGGGGCATTTTTGCTTGCCGCCAGAACTAGCACAACACAGGTAATCAGACACGTCAGCAGTTAGTTTGTCGCACAAGCCACCCTACGTGGCACCACCCTCGTCGTATTTCTCGCGGCCACGTCGCCGATTATCGTATCGCCCTCGTTGTGAGGGAGAGCCGAGAGTTCTTCTTCGTCGCGTTCAGCCTACGGCGGAGAACATCTGTCGCAAAAATCAGAGCGAACCAGCGCGCCTACTACGGTAGCTCAATTGGTGTACCCATGAATTGTTTTTTTTTTTTTTTTTTTTTTTTTTAACCCATGAATTGTTGAAACACGGAGTTCGAATCTGAACGGACGAGGTCCAGAGGGGGAAGAAGGTTTTGGCTCCGCCAACGTGAAGGGAGGAAGACGCGAAGGCCGGCCCCCCCTCCCCAGGCATCACACCTCCGAAGCCGTTGTCCCGCAACAGCTGCACATACGCGCACCCGGTCAGGAACGTGGGCTGATACAGGCGAGGGAGAGAGATTCCGGGGTTATGGCATCTCCCTCCGGGTGGCTCGTTTTCTGCGAGGATCTCCAAGTGCAAACGTCCTTCCGAGTCAACTGGCAGGAGAGAAGATGCAGTGGCGTCCTCCGGGAAACCTACTGCCGACACTATATCGGCCAACCACAGGACAGCTGGTAGCTCCCTTGAGGAGGGAGAAATGAGAAAAGAGGGGAGGGATCTCACCCGAGGCTGAGGGGAGCGAACTGGCGGTGGAGTATAGTTTGAGTCGGCATAAGGGAGACCTACTGGTGGGGCAGTGCCATGGTAAGCTGTCCAAGGGTAAGTGTAACGCCTCCGTGTAGTAGTGTGCAGCAACCGCAATTCTGGAGTGTGGGAAGCAGTGTTTATCTATTAGGAGAGGACGTCCTCGTACCAGGATGCTAGGGAAGGTTCAGAGGCCGGGTCTATAGTCTGTTGTGGCTTCGCTCAACGAAAAGAAGGAACGTATAAGAAGTCACGGGCTGATGTTTATGACTCTTAGGTTGTTGTGGGTAATTAGGGTGATTTTTATTTCCTCCTACGTACGTGACGACTATAGTCATAAGATAAGAATTCCAGTCTCGTGGTGCACCATGTCGACCTCAAACGCTCCACAGGATGGAACCTCCGCTGAGGAAGTTAAACAGCAAATGAATGTTATTCTTAATGAGTGTTATTTGAATGGCATTTTACCGGAGGTTTTCGTCCCAGAGATTGTCGATTCCGGAGAAGGTTATGTGCGAGTCTCAGTTAATAAAAGCTTCTTTGAAGTCCAAGCGGAATGGTTGAGGCAAYATTYGGTAACTGTCCATTTTGGAGATGACTCGACTTCCCTCCCTGTCAAGGTGAAAAACAGGTTAGTACGAATTTATGAAGAGGGATGGGCTAAGGCTGGGGCAGTGAATGCACCTCCGAAGAGAGGCATCTTTCGCAACGAAGGAAAAAATCTAGTCACTTACGTGGCTAGTGCCAAGGAAATTGCACAGTGGATGTTGCAGAAAAAGCAGGACGTCATAGAATTGGAGAACAAAAGATATTCGTTGACATTCAGACCCTGGATGAATGACCAAGAGCTATATGAATGGAATGAATCTCTGAAATTCAAACTCTTTTGGATTAGAGTGATTCAGGTCCCGATTTCGGTCCTCCCTCACCTGAGAGGGGCGGTCAGCAAGGCGTATGGGAAGGTTCTACGGGCCGCCCCAGCGTTTGCGGACCCGATTTCACCAGACCTTTGGAATGTCCGTTTTGATTTAGTACCGTCTGCTCGTGTGACTTACAAAAGAACACTGATTATCGACATGGCAGAATACGGCTACGTGGAGTTAGATGTGGCATGTGCAGATTCGTCATGGTGTAAGGCGTGTAAGCAGTTCTTCCACAAGGAAAACGATGCGAATTGCCCTAGGGTCATTAAAAAGGATTCAATGAAGGATTCGTCCCCGAAGTCTAATCTTGACTTCAAAAAAGCCCTTCTGAAGGAAACGGAGTCTCCAGGAAAGAAAAAAGACATGGAGGATGAACGAGGAAAGGAAGGTGACGAAAGGGAGGAAAGGGCCCTCAAGCCGGTAGAAGTCCGAATTAATGACCCAGGGAAAACTGTAGAAAAGGGYTCGAAGGGGAAGGAAAGAAGGCGGAAAGACAACAAAGAGAAAAGTCGTCAGAAATGGGCGGCGAAAGTGAAGGGTAGGAAGGAGATGGTGAAGGGGGGGAAGGGAGGAATCCCTRAYRCAGAGGCCACTAGTAAGGAGAAGGAGAAAGGGAAGGATAAGGAGGAGGAAGGAAACCGGGAGGGGGAGATGGGCCAAAAGACAGATACCGGGCTCCTGGAGGGAAACGGAGCTCCT